GGGGGGGATGCCGGAGCGATAGAGCGCACCTACTTCTAATTTACCTGAGCGAGTAATTCAGGTGCCCGTTACCGAGGGATGTTCTGAAACGCGAAAAAGGTGTGTGGTTGCTGTTGGAGGAAGCGTTGGCATCATTAAATGGTGTGCGCGGCGTTAAGGGCAGCGTGATGTGAACAGATGTTTGATATATTTAATTTAGCGAGGGACAGAGGAAAGAAAAAAAAAAAAACCCTCAGGTTGCCCAGATTTATTTTGAAATGCACTTTTTCCTCCTTTGTAACTTTTTTGGGAGGTGTTTTTCCTCGGTGAGAAAAGGGCAGCCCTCCTCCTGGGGCACCCCGAAACCGGCCGCGATTAGTGCTTTCCTAAGGCGGGGATGTAGGAAGGCGAGACGTTTATTTGGATTTAAAAGTTAAATGTGCTGAGGTGAAAAGTCATCTTGTTCTCCTCTAGTCCGTGGTCACCTCTCAGCCCCCCATCTCCATAATTCAAACTCTGTGCTCCAGGGGTCACCCGAACCCGTCCGTTTCCCTGAGATCAGCTTCTGTTTCTTCCCCAAACCTCTGTCATACCTTGTAAATAACATAATTACAAGCAGTTCCTTATTAAATTATTTAACCTGTCTTGGTCAACTTTTCCGATGATAACTACGTGTTATCAGCATCGCACCGCAGCAATTAAAGACAGAAAGCTACTTACTAGCTTGGGATTTAATCAACTTTTTTTTTTGTTCCGGGAGAGAAATTTAAGTTTTTTTTTTTTTTTTTTTTTTGGAGGAGGAGGAGGAGGGGGGTGTGGGGAAGAAGGTAAGAACGGCGAATAATTTACAGTGTTCTGGAAATCAGATACCAGAGATGGAAATTAAAACCATTCCGCCAACCTGCCGGGTTTTAACACCCCCGGCGTGCTTTGCACTCCCGGCCCACATGTATTATTTTCTCTAACTTCGCAATTCCCGAGCAAGGAACAGGCGAGACCTTCCCGCGGGCCGGGCCGGGCCCTCCGCGCAGGCGGCCGCCCGGCAGAAACTTTCTGCTTCTCTTAACTAAATTCGGGTCTCGTCTAAACGCCCCCGGTAGTAAAATAGTGTGTTTTCCTCTCGGAGAAAAGCAGAGCTGACAGGCGAGGCGCAGTCACTGACAAAGACGAAGGCATCGCACCCTTCCATAATTATTTCAG